CTGGATGTTTTGAAGGATTGAGGAGACAGTGCTTACTAAAATCATCTGTCTTCCAGGGTCAGGATTAATGAGATAATAAAACACCAGGTCAGGTCCCTTTGAAGGCTTTAGCCTCTCCAGCAATTAGTGTCTGGAGACTGCAATTTTCCAATTAACGCTTGGCGAACACACTGAAGGGAGCAGCTAGGGGCAGAATCGGGGATTTTTTTTTTCCCATTCCACATCATTACCAGCTCAATGACTCAACAGCATCAAGTGTTACAGATTTGTCTCTTTTGATCTCATCAATCCAAACACGGACATTGAAGGAAGTGATGCTTTTAGTGCTCCGTTTACTGTGCAGCATGAAAGAATGAATTAATTATTGACATCCAGTAATAGTGGAGCAGATGGCCTAGTCATATTACCGTTGGATTATTAATCCAGAGACCCAGAAAGTGCCCCCGCGGGGGCCTGGGTTCAAACCCCACCACGGCAGATAGTGGAATTTAAATATGATAAAAAAAAAGAATCTGGAATTAAGAGTCTAATGATGACTGTATGTTGATTGTTGGAAAAACCCAACTGATTCACTAATGTCCTTCAGGGAAGGAAACTGTCGTCCTTACCTGCTCTGGTCTACATATGACCCTATACCCGTAGCAATGTTGCCCCCTGGGCATTTAGGGATGAGCAATAAATGCTGGCCTAGGTGTTTCACAGGAATGTCCTCAGACAGACTGTGACCCCAAGGCACTTTTGGAGATTTCACATGCCATGACAAAGTACCTCCGAAGAGAGTGAGTAGTTAGGGTTGAGAATCCACAGCCTGAAAATGCAGTGGAGGTAGGTTCCAGAGGGACATCGGATGATTATTTAGGTCAGAGGGTACGCATGCTATGGGGATAAAGGCTGGAGATTGGCACTAAGGGATAGAACCCAGTCCAGGCACAATGGGCTGAATGGCCTCCATCTGCACCGTAATGATCCTATGGTTCTGAGGGTGGGGGGAGGGTTGGCAGACTGGGTTAGGGAGAGAATTCTAGAGCTTTGGAAGCTGATGACACAGCTGTGAAGGAAATGAGAATGTGTAGGAGGTGAGAGTTGGAGGAGCGCAGGGATCTGAGAAGGCACTGGGATCTGGAGGAAGAGGGAGAGATTGGGGTGTGGGGGAGCGATGGGAGAGGATGCAATAGAACGCAAGGCTGTAAATTGTAAATGTGGTGTGGGGGAACGGTGTGATGATCATGTCACTTTAAAATAAGTTATTTTGTCCTGAGTTTTTTTTTTGAAGAGAGGTTGTAAAGGCAGAGGAACTGAACTGGCAGTAGGAGACAGCCTAAGTCAACAATCAGAGGAGGCCTTTAGGTTTTTTCTAAAGCAGCTGTAAGAATGGAAGGGGAGTAGCCAGTTCTCCAAGATCAAGCTTTCCAGTTTTTTTTTAGCTACAACAGTCAGAAGCTGTTTCAGGTCCCAGAAGAGTTGAAGCTTCAGTAAAATGATTCCTAGTTGCTACATTCTCTGAAATCTCTCTTGATGTTATTTCCTCCTGGATTGGAGAACTGCATGCAAGAATCTGTGTCAGAATTTACCATTTGCCAAGGGGTGTGTTTATGGGATGTCTCTATATTGGGACAGTTAATTAGTAATAGGTGCTGTATCTATTATTCTGTTAGGTTTTCCAATAGTTAAGTTATTCTAAACTCCTCTTTGTTTTGTATTTTAATTATAGTGTTTAAATAAATTGTGTTTTGTTTAACATTGAGTAGTTTGATCAGTTGCATTGCATCTGGAACATGGCACTTCACATCTGCCTTTAAAATAAATAAAAGTTAGGGTCTAGGCTACCTTCTTAAAATATTTTGAGGGGTCTGGTCTGGTCCATAACACTGGACAACAGTTACAGTGTGCAGGTGCCTGGAGGGATTAGTGAACATGGGGCTGGGAGGGATCAGGAAGGAGGGCTGGGGGTCCATTGAGCGAGGATGGGGCTTGCTGGGCTGTGAACCTGGGTGTGTTGGGGGTTTCAGGGAGCAGGGATTGGGTCAGGTTCAGGTGGAGTGGGAGGGTCAGCAAATATGGAGGTGGGGGGTGAAAGGTGGGATATTTTTGTGTTGGAACTTGGACTCAACCTCACTGAAGGGCCAAAGGTCAAAGCACCAAAGGTGAGAATTGAGAAGTGAGGAAATGGAGGCAAGCATGCAGGTGCTGTAGGAGGTGAAGAAGGCAAATGGTATGTTGACCTTCATTGCGAAAGGTTTCGAGTACAGGAGCAAGGATGTATTGTTGCAGTTATACAGGGCCTTGGTGAGGCCACGCCTGGAATAGCGTGCACTGTTTTGGTCTCCTTTTCCAAAGAAGGATGGTGTTGCTCTCGAGGGGAGTGCAGTGAAAGTTTACCGGCCTGGTTCCAGGGATGGCGGGTCTGACGTATGAGGAGAGATTGACTAGGTTAGCATTGTTTTGGCTGGAGTTCAGATAAATGAGGGGGGAATCTCATAGAGACTTAAAATTCTGATGGGACTGGACAAGGTAGATGCAGGGAGGACGGTGGCTGTGTCCAGAGCCAGGGGTCACAGTACGAGGATTCAGGGTAGACCATTTAGGACTGAGATGAGGAGACATTTCTTCACCCAAAGAGTGGTGAGCCTGTGGAATTTATTACCACAGGAAGTAGTTGATGCCAAAACATTGAATGTATTCAAGAGGTGACTAGATATAGGACTTGGGGTGAATGGGATCAAAGGTTATGGGCAGAAAGCAAGATTAGGCTATTGAGTTGGACAATCAGCCATGATCATGAACAGCAGGCTCGATGGGCTGAATGGCCTCCTCCTGCTCCTATCATCTATGTTTCTATACACAAGGTTGTGGGTGAAAGGAGTGATTTTGGGAAGAATGTGTATTTGTGGGATTGATGGTCAATCTCCCGAGCTCACAGTCACGTCCATGCTGATCAGATTGACCGCAGAAAGGAAGAGACCCTATCTCTGACCTGATCGCATTTCGAGAGCACCTTTCATGACAATAGGCCATCCCAAAGCAGTCACAGGTCACAATGGAGATGTAAGGGAATGCAGCAGCCAATTTCCGCACAGCAAGATCCACCAACAGCACTGCGAATATTTTTGTTTTGGTCGTTTAGATCCAGGTACAAATATCACACTGAGGTTCCTGATGCCTTAAACAAACTGACATGGGAAACCAGCTTTGGCCCAATTGTCAAGCATTTACTAACTTCACACCTTGTTACAGGATATGATTTGGCCGAGAACTTTCTAGAACACTCCTCACACAGTTGGCGTTTCTATGCGATTGCAAATGATGCAGTCCAGCCACTTGCATAACGCTGCAAACTGCTTAGAGTTCAAAGTTAGACGTCACATGACACCAGGTTATAGTCCAACAGGTTTATTTGAAATCACAAACTTTCGGAGCACTGCTCCTTAGTCAGACCACACGAGGGGGCTACGGTCCAAAAGCTTGTGTTTTCAAATAAACCTGTTGGACTATAACTTGATGTCGTGAGACTTCTGACCTTAACCACCCCAGTCCAACACTGGCACCTCCACATCATGCTTAGAGTTCAGTTGAGGCATAAATAAGACCCACCCTGTCCAACAAGCTGAAGCTCTCCCAGTTTGGGTTAGAAAAGAGATGCTAGACAGTCTGCAATCTGATCATTACTGTAATCAAACATGAGCAATTATCCAAGCTCATATTTAATGCAGATACATTTCTCTTCCATGGGACAGCTGATGACTTCCTGACAACGCACATCCTGCATCATTAACCCATTTGTAATGGACAGAATGATACACCTCTGAGGGCAGTGAGTGTATTGAGGGAGAGAAACTGTCCCTCTTTGGAGAGTTGTCTTTCCCTGTGTAAGTACCAATCGTCATTTACTTCCACACTTCTTGCTTAACAAAAACTTATCTCTGTCCATTTTAACATTAACACTATTGCTAAATTCACTGCTGTTGGTGAAAGAAATTTCCAAACATCTAGCACCCTTTGTGTTCCTCGTAT